CGCATGAAGTTGGAGCTTTTGAGAAGTTAAATATCCCGGAAAGAACACAAGTTAGTATCTCAAGGACCTTACAGGGACAAAAGACCAGCGCCTTAGCACCATATGCTTAATGGCTACAGCCGTCCAGCCTTTATTAATGGCAAAAAGTGGTCCTTTAAAAGTTGGAAAGGCCCCTTTATTTGAGTTAGATGGAGCACTTGCGCACAAAACCAGAAGCGCGCATTGCCATTGACTCGCCCCCTTTCTCTTTCTTTCAGGACTCTGAAGCGGCCACCGTCATCACCCATTTCACTCCAGCATAAGCTTTTCATCACCAGGCTTTGTTCTCAGTGAAAGTAATGCTGCGAATCAAAGAGATGACAATATTTTCCATCAGCTTGGAGACCCTGGACAAGAGCCCTCGAGCTTTGGCAAAATTCAGGGCCGGTTATTCATCCTGTCACTCCGCACCTGTGGTCCCGCATTCAGAGAATACAAACCTGTCCCTATTAACATTAATTATTCACAAACAACACAAAGGCTGAAATAGAGCAGGTTGAAGTCTTAGCTTTATGGCTAAATGTTTTATTCCTCTGAAGATGTGCCCAAAGCTTTTTTTTTTTCTTTCCCTCGCTCGCAACCGATTGCCCGTCTCTTTTTAAAGTCTTGAGTAGCCCTACAGTTTACATTTTACAATCGCAGCATCTGCTTAATCTTGCGGATGAAAATATGCCACAAAACATAGTTAACAGGGGATTTGTTACATCCCGGTAATGAGTGATCAACGCGTGAAACAATGGAGTGGGATGGTGAGAGCCGTATGGTTCCGGGTGCACTCGGGACAGTTTGCTCTCTTGTTGAGAAAGCACCAGGTGATGGCAAGAAAATCGACATTTCGAGGAGAACACACCAAATCCACCTCCTTTCTCCCCTTGAAAAAGTAGAAGACATAAATTTAATTGGCTTATCAAGGCGCGGCGAAAAGACCTCGCTGTTAATTGGCTCCGGGTGCACAAAACAAACGCAGGGACATGTTTGGCCTGTCTGGCCCGCGTTGCGCTTTCAGCCCGGTGTCACATCATTGAAAATGTGTTTTATTATTGCAAAACGTCATGCTTTACAGTGACCATATTGTGTTCTGGACAAAGGCTGATGGAACATTAAAGACATGGAAAACGGTGCCAAACCCGTCTTGAAGACACTGCAAGGGCCTCTCTCTTTGCTTGCTTTTAGGCAGCTGCTGTCCAGGGACTCAAGCAAAAGGAAATGAAAAGAGACAAAGTTTGAACTACCAGGTGCATCCCCGGAGAAAACGGGGGCGACAGATCTTTTCCAGGGGCTCATAAAGATGTAATTTAGACTGGAATGTCAGCTCTGAAAAACACGGCCAACCGAGATGAGAGAATGATCCAAACTACCGGCCCTCCTGTCACACATCCTGTCTTGCGTCCTACTCTGTCAGCGCCAACCCAGCAGACACCTGTTGTGGACCCGGGCCACACTGCGCCCAAAAATCAGACGCCCTGCACAGCAAATCTGAGCATCCGTGTGTCCTGCAATGCACCGGAGCAGTGGAGTGACTGACCATGTCAGCCTGTCAACTGGCTCACTAATGTCATTCTGGACAGAAACATTCAGAGCCAGAGGTAATAATTATGACTCCAGGGGCTGTATTTCCAAAGCGAGATAATCTGCAAATGAAGCCGATTTGTGGTTCTTGTTCAGCGTCTCCCCTGGTGCGCGAACATGCAGACTCAAAGCTGATTAGAAAGAATTAGAGGCAACACAACCTTTTACTCTCTTCTCCCTAATGTGTCAGTCATAGCTGTTTATCTGAAGCTTTACAACTTCACTGATGGTTAATTATGATTATTATTATTATTCGCCACAGACGTTGTCAATGAATGCTGTTGTTGTTGCTGGTTTTATATTAGTGCTGTGTTGTTTTTTTCTGGTGTAGCAATTTCCCTGAGGTCTTGTGCCGAAGGGATCAATAAAGTTTTATTCTAATTCTAATTCTAAACATGATTCCTTCATTCCTTGTTAATTCATTTTCAGCCACAGAAACCGACAAAATACATATGTTCACAGTCGCTGGTGCGTAAAAGTGCCTGTGCATTATTATTATGTGATTTCATATTTACATGTAACACATGGCACCCCAGGGAACGTTTCCACATGAAGCACATGAAGCGTTCCCTTAAGCTTTATGTGTATTTTATTTTCATGAATGTTTAAGCGTAAAATAAAAGTGACGTGTAATTTAAGAAATAAAATTTGTTTTTTCAAATGGCAGATAAGCGAAAAGCAGAATATAAGACTTCAGATATCTAAATAGCCTTAAGCAATATTAGAATGTTATTTATTATATACATTAAAGCAAATAGATGCCCTGCACAAATCACACTGTTCGCCTTGAAGACACTCATGGTTGTGAAATGCCTTTAAATTAGAGAAAAATTCAGAGTGTCAAAACACACACAGAAGAGTTGTGAGTCCTGCATTTTGTACTTTTACTTGCTGGTGACCAAATCCGCAATACCGACAATGAACGTACTAAAGAAACAAAAGTAAAGAATAGACGCTGAATAACGGTCTCCTTCATTACTGATTGGCTTTAACTTGTTATATCTAATTTGAACTTTTTAATCTCTAGGCATTCATCATGAGTTGTTAATCGGACTAACTGCAGTCATCAAATCAAAGTGATATCTATATATATATGCGTAAAAATTCTTAGATCTGTAAATTGGATTTTTCTTTAAATTATGTCTTTAATGAGCCGCCACAGGGAGTCAGCCGTTAGACAGTTTCTTTCTGGTGAAAGAGGTTTTTTAATGTTTTTTAAACCTCTGTATCGTTGTTGTCTCTCTGAAATATGAATCCTGATTTTTATTTTTTTTTATTGATTTTGCTAGTGTCGAATAACAGAATATTAGAATAGACAGAGTATAAATATAAAAGAATATTTTCATAAGTCAGAATTTATCCTCTGAATTGTCTTACCCCTGGGATTCTTGGTTCATCTTGGCTGTGTTATAGCTCTGTACTGTAGGTGTGAAAGCACGATGCATGTCTGTGTGGTGAATCAGCGGCCTTTGAGCTCAGCGCCGAGCCTTTCTCAACCAAATTACCGCTTGGCGTGGCCCATAATGTCCAAGCCGGCAGAGAACTAAAGGAAATAAAACCTGTCAGACTGTTAAATAGTCATGTCCTTTGAAGCCTTGCCAAACCCGTAGCCGGAGTGACAAGATAGCCGGGAGTATTTCAGCCTGTCCCTTCCGCTTGGCTGCGACCGCACCAAAGAATGCTGAGAGGCGTTTTGCGCTCCGGGCACTAAAACGCATCAACGACACAAAGGCGTTAAGGTGCGAGAAACTACAATGCTACCACTGTTTTAACCTCGGCTCTGCTGTTGCACAGTCAAAGTGGAACCGGCCCTCCTGCCAAAGTGATGAAGTTGCATTGACTCACTAACATCTGACTTTCTAATGGCTGTAATAGGATTACATGCTCCTGTCGCGCTGGTAATGAGAGCGGACGGACTCCCAGAGGACCTGGAGGGGCCGCTGAGGAGACCGAGAGAGAGAGAGGAGGAAAAACACTTCATGGACCTTCAAAATGTGGGGTTGAAAAGTGGAGAAATGTAGCATTTTATGAATGACTTTTGGTCGAGAATAAAAGTTAAAACACGTAGGACGTCTCTAATCATAGTTGTGATAAATAGAAACGTGAGCGAACCCACCTGTTACGCTGGAGGTTTTCAAATCCAAACGTCAGAATCCTAACAGCAGCCCTGCAGCAGCGCGGCAGTGTGTCGCCCTCAGCCTTGTGCTTGCTCTTGGGCCCATTTGGTTCATATACGCGGTGGTGTGTTGCTGGAGTGGGGGCGGCCTCAGAGGAGGCTGTGGGGACACATGTTGGAGGGATGCCGCTACCACGGGAAAATCTGTCCCGGCCGCACCTGCCGCACAGAGCAGCATTCAACAGCTTCCCACCATCCTGGTCCTACACGCCCTCGTGCGCTTTAAATATCTTCAGCTGTTGTGGGTATACAGTCTCCTCTCATTAGCATCTCATTAACATATTTATGTCACAATATTGGGCTGTATTAGTTTGGGTTAACTGTCAGCTTCCCCCTTTCTCACTCAGTCAGACTCTCTGCTCACAGTTCATCTGTTCAGAGGTTCAAAGAGCTGCGACTTCTTGCGCGCACCATGCGTGTGCTCAACAGGACACTATTGCGTTTATATGGGCTGTAAGAGGATTCTTTTTTTCATTCCTGTATCACCAATAGCGTGTATTTTATTGCATGAATAATTTGACGGTCCAAAATTCACACTGATCGCGTCACAAGACCACAGAAATACAGATAGAAGGCTGAAAATAAAGGAGAATAAGCAGATTTTCAGTGAGCGTCTGGTTTCTCCGTGGAAAGCTCTCGTGTCTTTCTCCCTATCCTATCCATTTGTTAGTTTAATAAAATTAAAAGTGCAGGAACTTTAAGCCACATCTCGTGGAGTTCATTTATTGACTCTGAGAAATTCAAGCCAGCGAAATTTAGCTTTAATTCGAATTATTTCCAAGCTCAGTAATGAAGCTTTCAACCATTCACAGGGCAATGCAGAACGTGTTATTTCATATTTTATCTGATTTCAATAATATAACATAATAAAATTGTGTAAAGAAAGAAGCAGAACATTTTTATCTGTAGGTGCATTTATTTGCAGTGAATATAAATATAAATCATATCATTGTACACAATATAAAAATACATCTTCTCTCTCATTGCAGTTAAATTAAAAATATATATTATCACTTGTGAAAAAATAAATACATGATTGCCAGTTGCCTGAATTACAAAAACAAAATTATCAACATGATAAAACTATTTCGGCTACAACATTGAATGCAATATCAGAAAATGTAAGCAGATCTTCACATTACAGTGTGTCTTCAAGTGCGCGTCCTGCTCTGCACATTTACAATGTGCGTTTCGCAGGACAAACTGGTGTTTGTGTTTAGGCCACCAGGCCGAAGGGAGGCTCATTTTCAATGTCTGTCAAGCCCGCTTTATTGTGCAGTTTTCTGGGGTCTTCTGGTGTCCAGACCTTAGCGGTGCGGATGACGTTCTGTTCCCGGAGCTGCTTTTCATCCGACCAGGACAGAGAGTGACCGGCCAGAGGAGGCAGGCCGTAGTCCGGGTCGCTGGGGGAGGGAGACCCTGGAGAGAGACAGGTAGAGAGACATTAGTACAAGGCTTTTGAGACAAGGACTATGACAGATCCAGATGACTACATGCATAAAAAAATCAGGACAAGAGATGCTTAGAGACAGTTTAGAGGGATGTAATTCAGTCTGTATGAAAATGCACAAACTGTACATCAATGTGCAACTTCTTCACTAAGTCTCATCATCTCCACGCCAATGCAGCACTTTTCAATAAAAAGGAAAGAAACCAGAGCTCTGCTACTTACTTGTTCCTCTGTGGCATATGATGACCTTCTTAGGCTGCGCGTGCGTCTCGCTGTTCGAGTTTCTAATCGGCAGATCAGACTGCACGAGCTCGGCCAGGAAGTTGATGTAGCCGATGGCCAGCCGCAGAGTGTCCACCTTGGACAGTCTCTTCTCGTAGGGCAAGGTGGGGATGTGAGAGCGCAGCCCCTCGAACGCGTCATTGATGGACTGCATCCTCCGCCGCTCCCTGACGTTGGCCGCCTGCCTCAGCTGCTGCATCTCCATCTCGGATCTCATCCTCCGCCTCCGTTTCAGTAACGGGACGCCGTGGTGGACCATCTGAGGCGAAAGTTCCGGGGTGCTGTCGGCGCAGCTATATGAGAAAGTGGAGGAAGACGAGGAGAAGGACAAGTTGCCGTAGTCATAGTCTCCATCGTGAGGCGCTGCTCTGTTGCTGCTGTCTTTGCTGTAATAATCTTGGAAATGATTAGTAAGGAAGTCGACGTCGTCATCCAAAAAGTCATCAGTGTCCAGGTGTCCATCTCTGGAGGACTGGTCAGTGAAGAAGTCGTCATCGTCGAAGTACGGAGGGGAGGAGAAAGAGTCGAGTCCGGAGAAAGGGTCCAGCACACTGTCCATCTTTGTCTGCGCTGCGCCTTTCTCCTGTTGTCGCGGAAACAATGACAAGTTGTTCCTTCTTTGATGAACTGGTTGCTCCGTGCACGTTGCTCTGGTCAACACGTAGTTTTAGTTAAAGAGCGGCCACGCGAGGATTCTTTATAGCGACATCCATAGTCGCGTGCCGTTTGCCAAGAGAGCCAACCAATGACAGCTCGGTCCGCGAGGCGCACCTCGAGTAAATCCCGTCGAGGCCACGCCCCCCTCCCCTCCCCATCCCGTCTAACGTCTCTACTTGGACTGACACCGGCTGCTCTCCTGCACCACACTGCCTTCACAACTCAGCCAGTTCAGCTTTCATGTTTACAGTCTAAATGAATCAAGTTAGAGGACTGGTTAGATCACTTCCACCGGTAGCACACTGTTTCCCACAAACGCGTCTGCTAAAGTAATTTAGACTAGAACGGGTTAACGTGACCTCTCAATTGTCCATTCACAACCAAAGAAGTGCAAAAAGTTAATCAATCAACACATGCTGTACATGAATCGAACTGGTAGTCCGATATATTAAAAAAAAAGTCAGTTAATTCTATTATTGTATAATTAAGGTAAACAATAATATGTTTAGGCAAGTTTAGCTGCAGGATATAACTATTTTATGGAACCGGTAAACACTTGGAATGGTTGTACCACGGACTCCAAGACAGTGTCGTGAGATAGAAGTTGTTTGTTCCTCTGACTGAAGCAACATATAATAAGAACAGTTATGAAAAAACAAGTGTTAAATTATATATTGTCACAGTGGAGAATGTGGATCAGAACCCTGACGTCAGTAGTATCATAACCCTATATGTGCGCTGTGAGACTGCGCTACAGGCGCACTTTAATCTCAATTTATTATTATTATTATTATTATTATTATAAGAAGAAGAATAATCCATTACCAACAACCACAATGACATAATAATGAGGATACTACTACTGACAATAATAACTATTGTTATATTATTATTGTTGTTGTTGTTATATATATGTGGTGTGTGTGTGTGTGTGTGTGTGAGCGTGTGCGCGTGCGTAAACGGCACTTAGCTCTATCGGAAAGTGTCTAGCAAAAAGCATTTCAAGAAGTTTTGTAAATCTTTGCAGATCACATAATTGCCCTCAACTTCAAAGGAAAAAGAAAACTTATAAAGTCAATGTTTCTATTATAACATGGCTTCTTAAAATAAAAACGTTTTAGATTTAGTTAAACTGCTTGAAAAGAAAATGACCAGAAATACGGGTTTGAACTTAATGAACGACTAATGCGCCTTTTTGGCAGTTGCCCATGCTCTGGTACCTGACATACAGGGATTGTATTGTGTTTATCTCGGATGGAAACACATCAGACGAGTGAAAAGGCGCAGTGAGGACAAGACATGCTGCTTCGAAGCTGCTCTTCTTCATCTTTTCCTCCTACAAGTGGAGAAGAGCCCTCAGCTCGATCATTTATTTAGCAGTAAGTGGGCAGCGCTGCTGCCATAAATACGTGCACCAGTAGAGTGGTCGATGCGCCACTTGTGCCAGCCAGTGCGGTTTTGATTGGGAGAACTGGTGACAAATAAAGGCACAGTGGTGGGCCTCGGGGCGCGCGCCTCATTGACACCTCACGCGACAAATTAACGCACCCCGGTATACCGAGAGGAGACTGCCCACCGGCCTGTAAGTGCCCGTCTATTCAGTCCATTCAGTGAAAGGAGTCACTTTGTTCTGCACAAAAAATGGACCTTCTGCAGGGGCAGGCTGGGTGCGAGCGCCCCGCCTCTGTGTGGATATTAGTGTTGCGATACAAAGCTGGAACGCGGGCCGCGGACCGCGGCCGTGGGAAGAAGGCCACTTGCGTCCTCATCGCCAGTCAAGGCAACATGTCGTGTTATAAATGGGGCTTGTGTTGCTGTCTACATAATGAAGCTGTAGCTGGGAGCTGCGTGTCTCTCAACAGACGCACAAAACACGCACATCGAGGTACCAACCAGGTGCTAAACGCAGCACCAAACTCTGTCAGCAGCAGGGCAGCCCTGTAGACCTGCACCGCATCTCCATCAGCATCCATCACAGTGAAGAGTTCCTTGACTGAGGGGCCCAATAGGGAGAGCTGCTGGAACAAGTGGAGTGCATGACGCACGATGGATCATTCGGTAACAATCCGGTCTGAAAATGTATTTAAACCTTTCTGACATGTAGGGAGCTGACCTGTGGATGGAAGTGATGATTAAGACCTCAGTTATCCCAATGAAACAGAACTAAAACTGAAACACAGCGTGTCACACATACATCATGTGTGGGAAAGCCCATACAAGAATTGTACGAAAGAGTTTAATAAACAACAGTTTGAGCGTATGTCATGGTGAAAGTCTACCTTTATATTTCCTGCGGTGTGTAAAAGTAGAGATCGTGATACAGAGGGCCTTTTAAAAATTAAACAGCAGCAGGAGGTCGGATGATAATAATCTGCCTTCAGAATCCATTTTTATATTCTTTTCCCTTAACGTACGTGTTAGGAGACATGGGCGATAAACTTTTGGCAGATTTAGATTTAAAGTTTGAGTTTAAACGTGTAACAAACTTCAGGAAACCAGCGGCTTTCAAAGTTAAATGTCCGATTTTTATTTTTTATTTATTTATTTATTTTTCCTGAGAGCCAAAAAGTCCAGGCTTTGAAAATGTACAGAAAAAAAAAAAAGAAAGAAAGAAAGAAAATAGCATAAAATAAAATAAAATTAAACAAAAGGAAAAAAATAAATCATTATTTCCCTGCTCATTGCTGTCATTATGGAAAATATACAATAACTTTAAGCTATAGAGACAATATAGGAACAATCCCATTGACCTGTGTTCTTCACATACATGTTAAACTCTTTGGCCCTGTCCTTATTTAAGCTCTACAGGTGAAAACATACATAAACTAGGATATTTTTGCGTTTCGGTTTTTACAACGGATTTTGTCTGAACTGTCCGGGTTATATATAAATATATATATATGTACTCAGATTAAAACATTGTCCCTTGTCTTTATGCATGTGTGCTTTTTACTGACAAGTGTGACAAAAGTGTGTGTGTCTCACCCCTTCCTTTTTGCTGAATCCAGATGATAATTCGAACCGTGCAGGTTTTTAACGCGCCATGACCGCGCGCTCCACGTCGTCTCATTGATGAACGTGCTGTCATTCTGAACAGGCCGACCTGTGCGAGCGGAGCAAGTGTTTGGGTTCCCATCGGTCTGCAGCATGCAGACACACACACACACACACACACACACACACACACACACACACACACACACACACACACACTCCTAAAGTTTCAGCTCTCTCTTGGACAGTGTGCATGGACACATCTAGATCTGCATTTTGACAGTTTCCAGGAACAGCATGTGCAAATAAATTTGCAATCAACTGAAGACCAACTTTATTTGTTAGGAAATAAGCAGGCAACAGGCCAGACATCTATTTCCAACACCAAACTGCTTATCAGTCAGCTGAGCCAATGTGAAAATGGAGGAACAATGTCAAGAATGACTGTAATTCCTAAACAGTTAAAAACTGCTTGAATAAAATTAAAGGTCTATACTTTTGAACCTCAACTTGAAATTTATTGTGGTGGTGTACAGAGACAATGTTTTGAAAAATGTTTTGTTGTCCAAATCCTTATAGACCAGACTGTATGTGTCTCATGTCAAACTTTTAATGTTTCCCTAATTGTATTTATTGACGTACCTGTGAGCACCTCACCTGTCAGCGACAGGAAAAGGAAATGCAGAAAGTGAACTATGGCAGACAAATGTGTGGAATTAGAGCTGAAGCTAATCCTCCCACACTGTGATTCAGTGGTAATCCCTCTAATCTCTGGCTAAAGGGGATTATCCATCTGGATGACTTAAACAAATTAAAGGGATTTACTGAACAGTAATTTAGCAACTTGATTAGATGCATCTTCCACAATCACCATAACCTTTGTTTTGTTGGCCACTTGAAGGCAGCTGCTTTTTATTTATTCTTGGTTTAGACATTTTTTTTGGACTCATAACATCCTCAAGGTCATTTCTTACAAGTGAGGAGTCAAGGAGCTTCCAACTTGAGGGGTTTCTAGGTTTCAAGGATGGTTTCAAGCACTATGCTTCTGTATTTTGCAAAATCCTGTCTTCATACAATTTACATGCAAAAACTTGGCATGCTGATGAATTGTGTCTTTTGGGTTATATTAGTAGGCTGTAGCTACTATTAAAGACACAGACGTCATGTCCTCAGTAATGTGTCTAAGGATGTGAGTGTCTTAAAGAGTTTTATTTTATTATAATATCTTCGATATGTGGGATTTTTAGACGGCACATTTTGGCTATTTCTTGGAAAAACAATAAATAAAGTTAAAAGAAAGGGGCAATGCCACAAGATTTATAAGCCTCTTGATGTAGAAATGGTTACTTTGTTTTTTAGAATATAATATGATCTGAATGTGGTCTAATTTATGGAAATTTAATTTAACACTTAATGAATAAAGCCACTGTATTTTGTTTTGATTTACAGCATTTAATCTGTGGCTTGTTGAAGTTTTTTGGGTGGGGTGGGGTCACAGTGGGGGGATTTGGGCGATTTCAAGACTTCTAAAAATATAGCAACAGGCCTTAATGTGTGAGGTATCTGATCTACTAGGTCACGGGTTGGTTGTTAGGATCTGTCACTGGATTCCAGGAGTCAGTGAAGAGGATCTATGGGTCCAAGTAGGAATCTTTGATGTTAAAATTTGCTGACCGCAGTCATCAGTCTTTAGACTTTAGATGCTGAGCTCAGATTGAGCGACAAATTAAACATTAATAAATTAGGTGGGCAAAGACAGACACATTAAATATGAGCAAGAGAAAGAAAAAAAAACACCAAAAACGTGGGTGAGCGAAAGCAGCAGATTACAGTCGTGTTCAAATTTATTTATACCCTCCCATTAAAGAAGGAAAAAAAAAAACAGGTGTCACTGAAATAAGTTGAAAT